TAGTGTTATCAGTACCTTGTTAGTATTACAGAATTATTAGAGTTATCAGTAACTTGCTAGTACTACAGAATTATTAGAGTTATTAGTACCTTGTTAGTACTATCGAACAAGGAACATCTAGAACAATGTTTCTAGAAGAAAATTGACTAGTGTTCCAACTTAGAATGCCACAAACATGACTCGCTCTATGGAAAGTCTTAGACCAGCAGTTCTCAACCTTTCACAGGGGTCCCCTAAGACCATCGGAAAACATGTATTTTCGATGGTCTTAGGAACCGAGACACCGCTCCTCTATTTGTCTCCAGGCCCACATGCAGATACACCCACATACGAGTACCCGGCAACCCCTGTGAAAGGGTCGTTCGACCCCCAAAGGGGTCACGACCCACAGGTTGAGAACCGCTGTCTTAGACAATTCTGAATTCTAGGCCATTTTGGTGTTTTACTCTTAGGTAAAAGATGTAATGGGCCAGGGGGTGGTCTGAGGTGGTGGAGTGCCGAGGGGGGCTGAAGCAAGAACAGTCCTCCTGAGACGACCTGCAGTTTGGTGCTTGTTTCCCTAGAACACAGCTCTTTGCAGGCACGAGTGGACCTCAGCTATCTCTGCATCACAGGCACATAGCACAAAGCCTGGGAAGTGAAAGCCCAATAAGTATGTAAAATGTTAACCAAGGTCCTGTTACTGAGCCCAGACTCAGTGCCAGGCTCTGCCGAGGTTCTTGATTATGACTTCTCATCTAAGCCTTAAAATCGTCCCATAAGGAACTGTTAGCTGCGACTTTATAGACAAGGAACTTGAGGTTTGAGAGACTGACCGGAAACCAATTGGCCTGCATGGTCTAAGATGCAGCACCTCCTGAACCCCTTCCTTTGCCACGTGCTGCTGACTGGGGAGCCTCTCCTCTGGGAAACAGGCTACATCACAACTGTACAGTTTCACACATTTTCCTCAGCTCCTAGTTGTTCAGTGAAGGTTTACGAGAGGTTTTGACTAAGAGCGAATATAGAAAAATGGTATAAAGGCTCCCTCCTCTGAGTCTTCCCCGTTCAGAGTTTGCCAGATCTCAAATACGAAAACCTTTCCATGCAGACTGACTGTGGGGGAAAGCACTAAATTACACTCACAGTTCTGCGAGGGTCTGAAGCAGGGTTCTGTTCTGACTGTCCTTCTTCAGGTGATCCCGCACTGCTTGAACGATCACTGAGTTGTTGTACAGATCTCCGGGCCATTCTCGGATCAGAGTGGCAAAACCCTAACCAAGGGAGAAGACAGAAGAAAACTCTTGAAATAGGATAACAATCCAAACAGTTGAGACAATACCTAAAAGTATTTATGTAAACACACAAAATAGTTTTATGATGAAAACTTTGGTCCATAAACATATCATCAATTTTCAGACTATGAGTATGGGTGGAAAGGGGAGGCAGAGAAACCCTGTATGCTGATCTCCATTTACCACTCCTGGAAGCCACCCACTTCTGTTCTTATTTGATGAAATGCACAAGGAAGAAAGGCCCAGGGAGAAAGGCCCCCGTCCTCAATAAAGCACCACCACACACACAGAGCGCAGGTCTCACTCGCTCTGTTCTCATTCCGGCCCAACTACAATATGTGGCTGACATCTCTAACCTCTTAAGGCACTGCCGCGCCAGCTGCTCTCTCCCACCTCCTCAGCCTCCTCTGTCCTTTAGGTTGCGGCTCCACAGCCAGCACAACCGCACACGGCGTCTTATTCCTTCAGTGGAATTGTTACTGGCCAACTGAGTAGCCCCCCACCCCCTTCACCACTACTGAGAAACTTTTAAGTTTTCTTTCCTATAGAAATGTTGAGTCTCCTCTAGTTTCTTAGTTTCTTGGCTTTACTTTTCTAACCAGTTTGTGAATCCTAGACTAGAAAGACCCACCTCCCCCGCTTCCCTGCTTCTTAATTGCTTTGTAAATCAGTTTCTGAATCCTAAACAGTACATTGTAGACCTAACAGATTTATTAATTAAAATCTATTTTTCCTCATTCAAGGGCCTTGAGGATACAGAGGACACCCCAGCAAGATTGCCAGTCACAACCAAAGAAGCCAACACGGTCTTCCAGGCGGAGCTCGAGACCCCTTCCTCCCATCTGAGATCAGCTAGGGTGAGAGTTCTGTGAATCCCCCAATAGGCAGGGACAGCTCTACGCCCCTGCCCAGCAGGAAGCAGGTACAGAAGAGACCTCCTGTCCCTCAACTTCCCATAGAGATTTAAATGGGGATCACATTTCTCAAGGGGGAAATTAGGCAGGCAGTTAGAGGCAGGCATTGGGCCTCTGCATTCCTGCAGGTCCCACAGGATGTGACCACCCGGTGACCTCCCCTCTCCACCCAAAACTTTTCATTCTAACTATATACCCCTGAAACAAATGGGTCCTGTTGTCAATTACGGGTGCCAATCAAGTGGTCCCATGCCCAGAGGGGAACAGCGCATTCTAGAGAAAAGGGGATAAAAACTCCAAGACCTGGGAAGTCCCCCTTTCTGGACGCCTTCCCCCTTCTTGACCGCTTCTTCCCTTTTGAACCCCTCCCTCCCTTTTTTGAGCCTTTTGAGCCTCGCCTTTGCGCGTGGCCTGCTCCAAACTCTTTTGAATGTAATTTCTCTTCTAATAATGTGCCCGTGAGCCATTCTCTACTGCTCTGGCCTACTTCTACTTCTTTGAAGTGCACTATCTTTTCGAATAAACTATTTTTGCGGTACTTTATTCTGGCATCTTGTTCAATTCTTTGCTCAAGTTGACAAGGACCTGGACTTTGCGCCGAGAAGGGCCCACTCACTCTCCGTGACAGAAGAATCGCCCGGCAGCCCGCTTCCACCATGTCTTCATCTGTGTCCTCCTTCCACTCCTGCCTCAAAACCCAGTTTTGTTTGGGGATTTGGGGTTTTGGCTCAGGTCTTATCCCCTCGCTCTTACCCTATCTCTGGGTCTCAAATTTTGTGGTTCTGAGAGAAAATCCCAGGTCGCTTGACTGGATTCTGTTTCTCTCCCCTGGCTGATTCTTGGCCAGTGTCCTGGGCAGTCCCCACCCTCCTGATTTCTGACGGTGGCCCTCAGGTTTTGTACAGCAGAGCCAAAGTACAGTAGAGAAGCTTACTTATAGATCTTGGCAACTTTTAGAAAAAAAGCCTTAGGTGTACTTAAAAGAGCAAATAGAAGTAAAAATATTCATATTACTAAAAAATCATATTAACTAACTCAACTAATGCTTTAATGAACTATTTTCAATTTGTTTAAATGATATTTAGAGATGAAAATAGTGAGGTACAATTTGCTTCTGTAAAGTACCAGGATTTGGTAAGAAGAAAATCACAAAAGAATCAGGAACAGTCTCTATTAAAGTTCTACCCACTTTCTCTTAAAGTGACACCCAGGAAGGATGGCAGAGACCAGGACAGCAGGCTACGTATCTCCCCTCACGGTGCGACCTTCTTACACATGAACATGACTACAGCTTGACTTGAGAGATTTGGGGAAGGGACTCACTAAGTAAAGATGATGTATTTTATAAAACTACTGAATCAGCACATTAAAATGCTCTCTGAACCAAAATGATAGTTTGGATAAAGCTTCTGTTTTCTAAAGACTGTGTAATTCATAAGATAAAAAAAGTTTGAAAAGGTTTCTACCCAAAAAGTGGCAAGTCTCAGGATCTTAAAGGTCCCTTCAGATCTCAAGATCTCACAGTCATCTCAGAATTAAAACAGTGTTTGCATAGTACCGCTCCTTAAACAGAATCAATTATTGGTTACAAAAGTATCTTAACAAGGTGTTTAGTAATCAGTAGGCACTGGAAACACAGACTTCCTTTTCTCATTCACCCTCTAGTCTGATTACCTCTTTCTATTTCTGTATATTAACCTTTCTGCAAGGCCACCTAACATTCTCATGGGAAAGAGGAAAGCTGTAAAGTCTTCCTTATCTTTAAAACCTGACATCAGAATACAAAAGAAGGCAGCGACCACCTGTACCACGCTGTAAGGCACCAACATGGGAACTTATCTCTAGATCAGGGCTCTGAGCTTCATAGGGACTGAAGATGAGGCCACTTTTATTAAAGATGCTGAAAGGTGGCCGGAAGCTAGAGAACAAGTGACGTCTCCTGGTTTATGGATTCTCCTTGCACCGGTCACAGCTCTGCAAATGAGCTTACCAGCCCTGGCTAGAGCCTACCCACATGAACACTTATCCTTTCCTTTGGTCAGAAGGGGAACTGGGCTGATCTTCCCCATAACACTCCACTGACAGCTTTGCTAGAGCACCTAGCATATTATAATAATGTATTTGTTTATGTCAGGGTTTCTCCATCTCAGTACTGCTGACTGTTGAGGACAGATCCTTCTTTGTCGCACGGGCCTCTCCTGTGCACTGTGGGATATTTAATGGCATTCTTGCTGGCCTCTACCCACTAAATAACAGTAGCACCAACTCTCCAGTTGGGACAACCACAAGCATCTCCAACATTGTCACAAGTCCCCTGGGGGACAAAACCAGCCGCAGTGAGTGCCGCTGGTTTACATGCTAAGTGTGACTCAGACTATATGTGAGGGCTGAATGGCCATGGTTCCACTCACATCTGTGCGCCCAGTGCCCAGCACACTCCTGAAACACAGTAGGCACTAAACAGATACTTTCTGAATGTGCGCTAAATGAACAAACTTTAAAAATTATAATCCACTGTGGGTGCATGCAAACACCAAACTTAAAATTACAATCCAGGCATACCTGCTTATTAAATGCATGGCCTTGGGCAAGTTATTTAATGTTTTCAATTTTTAGCTTCTTCATCTATAAAACTGGATGTTACTATTTATAGTGTTGGGAGTACCAAACCACAGAATGCATGAAAAAGTGCAGAGCGTATAGTGGATAAGCACTTTATGTGCTCCTTTTTCCTCAATTAATAAGCAAACAGGTAATTTCCAATATCTTCCCCTATTCCTGCACCTTCAATTTCTCTAATCCTCCTTTGGCAAGCCTGGTTATGAGTTTCATGCATTACGAAGTTCTCATTCCTTTAGGGGTAGTCTAAGTATCAATAGCAGCAGCTGCTCTGTTTATGAAACCCCCAAAATGGGACTCAGTCCTTTTTTCTTTAGCTCTATTTAGGAGGTGACTTAAAGGGAGTCTTCAAAATGTGCATGGATTAATGATTTTCACCATCTACATAAACAGTTATCATTGGTGTTTATCTGCCTCAGTTTCATCCATCATACATAAACTGCAAATCTGGTAACTTTAAACCAGTTGCTCCGTTGTACTATTTTTCTAAATTTCTTAACATTTTCTGAGAACAAGTAAACATGACCGAGTCAGAATGCCATACCTCATAATCACTTTCCAAAAATTCATGTAAGATCATTTCATAGATGAGTGGCTTCAGAACTGGATCCCCTCTTGGCAAATAAGGACTAATAGCCTAAGAAAGGAAAAGGAAAAACTCCTTTAAAAGTGGTGAAACAAAACTGTACTCAAAGTATGCAGAAAATATAAAAGCATATTTTCAATTTTGAAATTTAAGCCAACAAAGTACTTTGGAAAAGCATACGAAGAGAAAAGATTCAAATAAACTGTACTTTCTTATAACACATTACAATATATTTTAAAAAGTATATATGAGGTAGTATTTACGTATGACTAAATAAAAATTCCCTAGGTTAACCTGCACCTGTTTTTCCTGCTGAATTAATGAAAATCTAAATAACAGGAAGGAGAAGGTCACAGAGATGATAAAAGTCAACTTCTTAAGTAAGCGAGCAGTAAAGGTAATCTATTGATCTTCCTTTCCTTGAACTAGAAATATCAACCTTAAATACTAACAATCATCTTTTGAAATTAGGGGGAAATACATCTTGTGTTCTTCTGCTACTTCAGTGCTATGGTAAGTGTCAAATGTCTAAACGCTGTTAAATGACTGCACTGCACTGTGCACCAAAATCACCATCCCAAGGGCCTCACAGCCCCGGAGGAAAGGTCTACAGACACCTCAACAGCCAAGTGCAATACTATGGGGGAACTGGTACAAAACAGGGATTAACAGGGGGCTGTGGAAATCCTGTATCCTGAAGCAGAGGTCACAGAAGCTTGGGTCTATTAGGCAAAGAAAGACGGGTGACGGGCACCCTGACAGGGAGGCAGCATGGGTAAAGGAATGGAGCTGTGAATGCATACTCTGTATTCAGGGAGGTGAGGTGGGATCACTGAAGGGAGCTGAGGCCGGAGAGGAAGGTGAGGAGGGTCATGAAAGGAAGTCAGATTTTATCCTATGGGCAGGAGGGAAATAGTAGGTATCAGGGAAAGGAGAACAGCACATATATTTTTAAAACAGCTAACTCTGGATCAGGTCTGCCTACAGATCTATCAAGAGTTAAGACAGTGGTGCCGGAAGGAAAGAGGAGAGAGAGGCCCAACTGATGATACTGACAAGGTAAAACTGACAGGAACTGGACATTAAGTAGAACAAGGCGAGTTAGATGTTCTCATCAAAATAGTGGCTTTGAACTATTAAGCATGGCGGAATGGGTATAATGTGATGTCATAAACACAGGTTAAAAGGAGAAGGGCCCAATTTGGGAAAAAGTGGATTCACATAATTTGATGATCCTTAACAGCAGTACACACACACACACACACACACACACACACACACACACACACACACACGGAGAAATGGCTTTCACACACTTCCAACACAGATATGGAATTCAAAAGAGAGGTCTGGGTTATGGAGCGAGCATCATAGTAAACATGGCCACAGGACTGGACAAGATTCTCCAGGAGCAGTCCATAAACATGACAAGAAGTGTCCTTGGGGGTCTCCCATCCCAGGGAAGAGACGTTTATGGGTCAAGCATATTCATAACTCTGAGGGAGAAATGTAAAGGATCGCAACTATGATAAGGTTTTAAAAAATGTTTTAAATAGGGATACTTTAGTGATTTGGATATTGTGCACCAAGTTGAAAGATAAAAAAAAATGAAGTCTCAAAATTATTTGTTAGAGCTACATGATAAAACTTTTCCATTTATTTTCCAGCAAATAAAATAGTTGAAAAAAGCATTAATCTCAAGTAAATGTCAAAAAAAAGAAAACCCTCACATTTTACAATCCAATGGATGAGACTACACCCGTTTTCCACATTTACTAAAAAGAACATGAAATCTTCATCTGAACACAGAATTGGAAGGAGATAAGAAAATGAGTACATCATTTATGTAATACAGTATATCATATATGTATATATTTTACATATATAAAATATAAACCACATTTATATTTTGAAACTAATTTCTAAAAGTTTAATTTTTCTTCCTGGCTAATATTCACTTTCCAATAAAGAATTGACTACTATTGTTTTACTTTTATTTCTATCTTAATATAGACATACCTCATTTTACTGTGCTTTGTTTTATAGTACTTAACAGATATTGTTTTTTACAAATTGAAGGTTTGTGGCAACTCTCAGTCAAGCAATTCTATTGATGCCATTTTTCCAACAGGCTGAGATAATGGTTAGCATTTTTGAGCAATACAGTATTTTTTTAAATTAAGGTTTGTACATTGTTTTTAGACATAATGCCATTGCACATTTAATAGACTACAGAATAGTGTAAATGTAATTTTACGTGAAATAAAAAAATGTCATGTGATTCACTTTATTGAGATATTTGCATTTTTGTGGTGGTCTGAAACTGAATCCACAGTGTCTCTGAGATATGCCTGCATTAATATACTACATGCAAAAATTAAGAGTTAAAAATAAAGTTATGCTTACCTTAAGCTGCCCAATTTCTTTAAATTTATAAACTTCATATTCCCAGAGTGCTGCATTTTTCCCAAGAATTTTCTGGCACTTGCTGGTAGCAAAAACATCCCAGGGAGAAAGAAAGTTTAAGTAAAAAACTAAACAGAGACAAAATAGTACACATTTCCCCTAGTGGTTTAGATAAATATCTCAGTGTTATCAAATTTCCATCTCAACTGCCACTGAGCATAAAGGTATTACTTACCGGTACTCACTTGACTGCATATGCAAGGTTGATGAAAATGATGAAAATTAATACAAAATACTTCTAAACAAAGATGAATACCTTTCAGAAGACTATAATTAGGGGTTTGCTCCATGATTTTCCTGTTCTGAGTTTTCTATTTATCCTGCTGATTTGGGGACCTTTCTTGCTTTTAAGAAATGTCATCCTACCCCAAAGTGCCAATTTAAATCACTTCTTGTTAGGCTTTAAACAATGAACTACAAAATCAAACTTCAGAAAGTTAGATCCTATCATAGCACATATATAATCTGGATAAGTGTTTATGTATGAATAAAACCTTACTCAATTTGCACATCAAAGAAACATATTTCCTTAAATCTCAGGGGACCCAAAGCAGGACCGAAGGCTATGTTCCTGGGCTACCAGGGATGTGTAGCCCTGCAGGCAGGCACTGCACAGCTTCAGGGGGAGCCCCGCACATGACAGACCCACACGACCACTGTGTAACATTTATGTTCTGCAAACCAGGGGGTTGGGGTCTGATCACTTCCACTCAATTGCCTTCCTCTTGTTGGGAGACAATTCTGCTTGAACTGTGAGCAGAGGCACTGACTGTCCTTATTCTGGATGCTGTGTAGTGAAGAGCCCGGGAACTCAGAGGACCCAGATAGTGTCTCCCTTCAGAGTGAAGGGCAGGTTTGCTTACTGTCCAATAAAATAAAAATAGCATCTTTCCCTGGAGCCAAGAGCAGGCAAGCTTACTGCCCACTATAAAAGAATCAGGTACCCACAGCTGAGGGCCCCTCTCCTGTAACAAGCCACTGCCTGTGCAGGGTCACCTGGCCCTTTCTGTGCTGTGCTGTGAGAACTGGGGCTGTGGGTCTGGCACAAGTGCTGGGACTCTGGCTTCCAGGACTGTGTCTCTGATCCGAATCTCTCCCCCTGAAACTGTGGCAGGCCAACTCGTTAGCTTATAAAAAGGGTAAAAGCTCAGACTCTTCATGGTTCTTCACACTCTTCTCATCAAGTAATGAGAAAAATACTTCTTGTTTGGTGAAAATGAGACAGTAGGTGGGTAAACAACATATATACCAGTTCTGTACTTAAAACCAATATTAAAAAATTATCCGTTTGAAAGACAAAAAAGTCAATTGCAAAGAATGGCTTATTTTTATTATTAACATTGATCAATTCTATTTCTATTAACATGTAATTGTGAAAATGACATTATTACCGTGCTGCTATGTCATACTCTCCTTTCTCCACCAGGTGGTTTATATATGCCAATCCAATGTCCTATGGAAAATGAAGTGAAGGAATTTCATAATTAACCGGAACTGAAAAGCTGAGTCGCAGTTTCTGAGTAGGCCATGACATCGGGGTCTAGCGGCACTACTGACTGGAGCCTGTTTACACATCTAAGTTTGCTTTATGGAATTAAGCTCGTTGTGTTGTTGTTGTTGTTGTTAAGCATGTATCTGTAATTACGCTCATTTTCTCCCTAAGCATATTTAAACACGGGTACTTGTATTTTTACAAATTTTAGAATTTGCAATGTTCTAAAAAGAATGTTACTATTTTAAAGGCTCCTAACCTGACCCTTCTAGTAGATTTTCTATAAAACAAATCTCCAAATATTAGAAGCATGGTCCAACAATTTCATGTTGTCACTGGATATAAAATTGTTCTTTGTGCTTTCATCTGTAAAATGAAAGCTACCTGTCTCCTCTATACCAAATCGGAAGAAATGTGGTAAGAAAAACAAAATGACAGAATATCATACTAAAGGGAAATATTAATGTTAACATTAAAGTGAAAATGAGCTCAGAAAAAAACATGTACCACATTTTGCCATGTATAATCGTACCTTTTTGCCCAAATCTGTGAGGAAAAAATAAGGATGCACATTATATATGGGTAGTACTAATTCTGTATCTATATAAATGTTTTAATTCTTTTATTTATGCTTATGAGTTAAAAGTGTAACTCTAGAAATCAATAACGATATCCGTATGCAAAATAATACCCTGGAATATGATAATCGGTTTTGTAGAACTTACGAAGAACTTGCAACGACGAACAGCTCTTGGCCTTCTATGATACGTAAACATCATAAATTTGTTGCCGGTACATAAAATTTCCATACATTGTATCTATTCTTGTGTTTTGTAATTATTTGTTACATAAAATTTCTTGTACCACAATGTTACAAAACAAATGCTAAAATTCCTTTAGAATCTAAAAAACAAGTACCTAAATGTAAACAAATAAAATTTTGAATTAAAAAATTAAAGTGAAAGATTTTTCCCCCTGAAAGTTTGGGACAAAAACGAAGGTGCACATTTTACACAGTAGCACATCATACACGGCAAAATACGGTAATTCAAACCCAGGAGTTTACATATGAGGAAACTGGGCCTTAAAGCAGTGAACTGACTGTGACTGTTCAGAGTGTTCATGTTCATTCACTTATTCTACCTCAGCTCTGAAAGGGTCTGGGGTGGTCTGTCAGCAGGGACATGAAAGCTCTTGCTTGACTTCCCCACACCTCCTCTTATGAAATGTTTTCACCTCAAAGCATTTTCATGAGCTTAAACTCAGCATATATAACAAAACTTGGATTTCAAGTTCTACTTTATGTACAAAAAAGTTTTTGTGGATGGCAGACACGGCAGCAGCTCATTCTCTCTTTGCCTATCTGGTTATGAAACTACACTGTGCCAAGAGAAAAAAGTCTACTCACACTCAATGTATAGGACACGCCCATTCTAAGAGTTAAGGGAAATACCCATAGTTCTTAGTGTTATAGTTTCACTTACTGACCACTATGTAGGAAATCGTATTTCAAATCTATAGGAACTACAGAGTGAAGAAAGAGTGCCTAAATTTATTTCTCTGAAAACAGACCACATATCACAATATCAATGGGGAGTCTTTCTGTTCAGGTTCAGAGACGAGAATGTCTCCTTTGCAGAGCCAGTTTCTCCAACCTTTCTCCTTACGCCAAGCCCCCTCCCCACGTGGAGTTTATTCTGTCACTCAGTCTCTTTCTCTGTACACTTTTGACTTCAACCCCAATTTTTCTCTTTTCCCTTAGCGTAAGCATGTTAAGTGTCTCTCTTACATAAAATACCCACCATCACCACCAACCATCCCATGATGTCATAGTCCCCAGCCACGTCTTTACGCTTTTCCACTTTACAACTACCGTATTATGAATTCTACTTCATAATATCCTATCACTTTTCAGTCCCTAGAACATGTTGAGAATATTACGTATACAGAAAATTCACTAGTCACTTACATATTACCAAACCCAATGTACAAACTGTCTAGCTGAGCTTGTCTTTCTTTTGACCTGCTAACCTGAATGAACCATTTAAGCATTTAACTCTTTTTCCCCTGAAATTCTCTCCTCTCAACTCCCACGACACGGCCTTACTCTGGCTGTTCCAAATCTGTTTTTGTGGCATCCCTTGAATGTCGGTGTTTCCAATGGTTCCATTGATGGTCCTCGGTTCTCTGATGCTACACACTCGCCCTGAGTGGTCTGACCCAAACACACACAATTCCACTGATACTTGTTTTCTGATGACTCTCCTGAATCTATCTTTCAATCCAGATCTCTTTCCTGATCTTCACTAGGAAGTCCCACAGATGGCTAAAACTCAATGTGTCAAAACCAGAATTCACTCCCCGACTACCCCTCCTAGCACAGCCTCAGTCTCTCTGTCTCTCTCTCAGTAAACGGCACACCATCTACCAGAGGCCCAAGCCCGAAGATTTCTTACTCTCACTCTCCTGTGCACACAGAGTCTGTCAACAAGCTTCGAAGAGCCCAGCTGACCATGTCTTCTATCTATTTTCACTGCTCCATTCCTGCTGGCTCTGCAAGTCTCATCGCTTCCATTTCCATACCAAGAAGGGAATCATACCTCGCTGATACCCATCTCAGCTGGCCTCCCTCTGACCCCCATCTCCATCAGAGAATCTTCCTAACAGGCAAACCTGACGTGGCACTGAAAGCTTAAACTCTCTCCTAGAGGTTCCGAGGTAGAGCCAAGCTCCTAATTACACACGGCCTTTTAGGATTGAACTCTTGCCTTTGTATAAATTCCTCAAAAACCCCACAAAACCAAGCAGGCCAAGCAGTTTCACCTCTCTACACCATCACACAGACTATTCTATTGGCTGGCATGACATCTGCTCCATTTCTAGATAATCCTTACTTATTCTCCACAATTTTGAATGAAGAAAAAAAAAGATGCTCTAGTTCTTTCTCCTCCAGTTAGTTCCTGAATTATTTTGCTTGGACACTCTTGGGAATCAGGCTATTAGTGGAGTTTTACATAGATGTCTACGTCGGGGAACGTGTAGGCAGAAGGAATTTGTGCTGAAACCCAAATTGCCATAAAAGTCTAAGTTTCTAGTTTTCATCTGTAAACAAGGGTCCTGGGCTAGGTGGTCTCTAAGGATCCTTCCCACTCAGAGGATAAGATTTCTTTCCTGCTTTCCACCTGCACATTCACTGTCACAGTTAGTACAGAAATGGGCTTTCAGACACTACATTTTTCCAGAGTCCAAATGTAATAAAAATGTATTTGATTTCCTAGATTAGTTTCCATAATAAAATCAATTGAGTCTGTTATTATGGAAACACTGAAGCAATCCACTTTTATGAAACCACTCTTGATAAATTTTGTGATAATGTGATTTTACCTATGATTTAAAGAACCTTCCTACACATAACTGGAAAGCTTTGTATTTAAAGTGTATTTCACAAATCCAGTTTCCAAATTACCTAAAACTACCTCCTAGCAGGTGTCCAAGTCTCTTGTTTACAAGCAGAACCTGACTCAATAAAATGAAATACTTTGACCTTATAGGTTGGAGAATTAGTTTGAAATAAATTCTTAAAAGGTAGGAAAAATATGTTCTTTTCAAATTACTTTCAATCTCATTATAAAATACTGAAAGTTAAAGTTATGTTTCAAATAATAAAATTACACACTTACCAGAATCTTATGTCTTTTAATGTTCTTTTGGCTAATTTCAGCTGCCATCAAAGCTTCCTATATTTACATAGACATGATAAAAGGAGAAGAGAAGAAGGGAGAGAAAATGGGAGAGAGTGGGAAAGAAAGATATCAAGGTTATAAATACTACATTTATTATGTTTTAAAGTTCTGGACTACATAAATAAAGCCCCATTTTCCCGTGGCTTTTGCTTCAAGCACAGGAATTTCTAATGTTATGGTTGAATGAGCCTCACTGCATTCAAACTCAAACAAAAGCAGTCAACCAAAATGAAGACTTCTCTTATTTCCATTTGAACTCATTTCCACATTAGGATATTAAATTACATTTCATACACAAATCAAACTACAACAAAATCTCCCAAGCTCAAACACCAAAAGTTCATCTGTCATTCCAAATCTGTATGATGTGTACTGATAAAGGGGCACTTTTCTTTTCTGAAACATAAAAAGTAAAGTATATGCATACATTTACAAATACCTACACATAAGATTTTGAAAATCTCCGATTTGATTTTTATTTGGAAAAATGTACAATTATTACTTGAACACAAAAGTTTAAAACAGAATTGTTTCTTTAAGAAACTACTGTATCTAAAGACATCTGGCAATAACTGGGGTACGAACTTGGTATCAATACCTAGACTCTAAATAGTTTATAAATTAAAAATTTTTCCCCCCAAATCCTTCCAGGTGGTTACAAACTAAACACAACAATAAATGGACTATTTCTTGTTTGTTTGTGTTCAGCTGATTAGTATATATCAGCCCATCCAGAGAGTTTTTCTAACTAAACCAACATGATAAAGCCTTTCTGGCTATTAAAGTTAAAAATGTTTCCTTTAAAAAAAAAAAATCATGATGAGACATTATCTACTAAACTTAGTCTGAACCAAGACTCGATGAAGTAGACAACATCACTTTATTTGACTGGGTAGTTCCAACCATCCTAAGTGAGTGTTAATTGATAGCTTTTACATATGAAATAAGTACCAAATGAATGATTTCACAAAAATATTCAATTGGACAATTCTGAAATACAAGCCATATTTAATTTTCCTTGGAAAAGCACAATATAAATACTTCAACAGGCTGGATCTAACCCACTCCCTCCCTCCATCACCAACTCCTCCACTGAACAGTAAAGCCAGTTAACCTGTGTGGTCTTCCCACCCCTCCAACCCCCCAATTTCTAAAAGAATATTGGGGAGTTATTAGCTTCCAATGTATCTTAGGGCATTCTAATTCACCTACATAAAGGATTACAAAAACATTTTATCCTCTCTATGCTACAGACATGTCAACACTTTCAAGAAAGTAAAATCGAAACTACTTCATATTTCTTCTTTTCAAGAAGCCAGTCGATATGGTCATCTTGGTCCCGTTCCTTGGCTACTACGACATCTCTTGGACTCACGATGTAAAAGAGTGAATCCCCTTCCGAGTACTCTGTAGGTGAGAGAAGAGAGGAACATCTCAGGTGACTCAACAGTAGCCACCCTGGCAGTGGTTTCTGGGGACTCGGCTAGGCTTCCCAACTTATTAAGAGTGAACAGAAACTCGCCTACCCTTGGAGCAAATGTGTTTGGCTCTGCTTGAAGGGAGGGCTGGGACACAGGTTAGAGAGTGATAGAAATTATATCAGCGCTTTAAAATATATTTAAGTGTAAAGTTATTTGGAAGAAAAAAAGAAAGGGAATGAGAAAGGAAGGGAGGATAAAAAGAGAGGAAATACTAAAAAACTTTTTAAAACTAAGGTGGGTATAAAATTCTGTGTTTAATACATTAACATTCTGATCTCAGCTGAAAGATAGTGTTCAGAATTCTCCATGTCTGCTGCATATTAGGATTCATGTACTGTATATAAACTTTATTTATGGCCATTTACAACACTGTTCTATTTTTACAGAACAATTACACCCCACAGTCCGCAATAAATGTTTCCTCCTTATCAAGGTCAAGGCCATCTAAAGCATAAATGACAGATGCCCCAAGCCCTCGGGACATAATCTATCATTTCAGCATGTTGTGCACAATGCCAATTGTGCGAGTTTCCTGCAGAATTCAATTATAAAACCTGTTCTGAGGGGTATCTCAGTGTGTAGCAGAGTTTGCTCTGAGCAAAATACCCAGATTGGACGCTTTCAGTTGTGAACCACATTTGCTTTTTGCCACGTCCAGAGTATACTCTCACATTTCTCAGATGATTAGGGGCTTCACGTGAGAAAGCTCGAACATGTATAGAATATTTCTTCATTTCTTTTGGCCAAAATGAGAACTGAAAATATTCTCAAAAAATGTCAATTGTTTTAAAGCAGAAAAGAGTTTCTAAAAAGCTTGAGCTATTTTATTTTCATCAATGTATTTTTCAAGGATGTGATGACACCTGAACACAGATGACTAGACAGCAATGGTTTGCCCTTCATTTCTGAGCAGTGACTAAACATATTCATTCACCCACTCAACAGATATTCTGCGAGTGCCTAGTGTGTGCTAGGCACTCTTCCAGGTTCTGAACATTTGGTCACACACAGACAGGTAACTTCTCTGCCCGCCCAGAGCACAGCATCTAGGGACATAAAGTTGGGAGTGATGCACAGCCATGCTGCTTGACTTCAATGTAAGTTAGGTGTCACATTAAACAGTTGGGGCAACAGACCAAGTACAAGGAAACAGAGCACAGAGCCTACTCACCTTGGTTCTGGCTCTGTCTCTTCCCCTCCCTTCTGCTGTGGGAACTCAGGCAAGTGCTATAATACCTCCCGGCTTCGATGCCCTCACGTTCAACATCGGAGGCCTGCCCACAGGGAGGATCGCTAAGATCCCTTCCTCACCTCGATTTACATTCCTGGTTTGCTACTCAAGTGGAAAGGGGCAAGTATAAATGTAAGAACATGAGCCAGGTCCTCAGTCTTACCTAGGTGATAATCTCTACATTCATTTTCCTGAAAGCCTCTCACTGTCAGAGCATCAGAAGAGATCTCTTCACAAGTCTCAGAAAGCGGCTGGATAATATCCAGTCTGGGCCTGGCACAGTATTCTCTTTCCTAGGGGAAAAAGAGAGGGGAAAGGCTCATTTTAATTACATTTCTAGAAATGATACAAATTAATTATAGTTAGCCATAATTACATGCCTTGGTTTTATCATTTGGGCAGATGAAGCCCTTCTAACCACCTGCTGCAGACAGCCTCATAACTATGCTTTATTTTCTGACTTTCTGCATGAGATAAACAGGAGGCACTACTGTGTCACGTCAGCACTCCCCCACTGCAGCCCATTCGACTCCAAGGGGATGGTACCACAGTCTCAGACGACTTTGGTACGTCTCTTTCTCACAAATGTGACAAAAAGTAAAAATCGTATTACAAACCGCTCCATTATTTAAACCACTGCCACTACTGGTAAACCTACTGGTAATGCTAACAGGCCAGAGATCGAGAGTTATTTCCAAAGCAGAACCTGCTGGGACGACAGAAATGTTCTCGATCTGACGGCCCAATGTGACAGACACGAGACACAGGTGCCTACTGAATATCTAAAATGTGATATGACGACTGAACAACTGAGCTTCAAATTCTATTCAGTTTTAATTAAATGTAGTTTTCAATTAAATTTAAACATGCAGTTTAAGTTACTACTACAGTTTTGGACAGTGTAGTTCTACTGACAGATCAAAATGTAAGGGTAAAAGATGATTTATTGAGGGCCTCTGACAGCTCCACTAACCTAATGTGATTATACACAGATTAGTCTCATGGAGTTCTTAAATTACCCCTTAGTAATTGCTATTGTTTCTAATTTTACAGGTGAAGGAACTGAGGATCAAAAAGTTTATACTTTTTACACAAAAGGTCAAAGTTACATAAGTAAATGGTGAGTCTGGGATTTATAGAAAAATTTATGATGAACCTTCAATTTGAAATCAAGCTTGTTTTACTTTGAAGTTCAGGCTCTTTGGGCATTCAACACACAGGCATAAAAAACATACAACAGTTTTCCAAAGCAACCAAACCTGAAGCAGTGTGACACTGGTGCAAAGAACGCAGATGAAACAGAATGAAATTAGTCCCAAACTACCCCCAACTCTCAAGTAAACAATAAGCCTCAAAGGTTTCTTTGATCAACTTTGTTAGGTTAACTGAGAAACAATTACATTAGCTTTGCACCTCATACATTTAAAACATTCCAAAAATAAAATAGCAACTATAAAAGATCAACTAGTAGAGAAACAAAACAAAACAACAACAACAAAAACAGTGAATACAGAGCATAATTTATCAGATCTGGAGAAATAAGGAATATCTAAATTTTGAAACAAAAAAATAAATGAAAGAAAAACTGGAAAGATTTGAATATTTAAAAAAATTAACAGCTATAACAAAGACAAAAAATGGTAAAATAGAAAAAAATATTTGAACCAAATAATATTAAAAGAAAACTGTCTCGCTAGACCATATAAATAGCTCCTTTATACGTAAAAGAAAAAAACTAGCAATGTGATTCAGCTCATTGTTTTATAACTTTTGTTCACTGGCCAAACAAGCCTGCTTATCCAGGAGCAGGAAATTTGGTCTTGTTGATCTCTGATCCCCAATGCTTGGCACAATTCTTAACACACACGTGTTTTATTAATGAGTGGAAAAACAAAAACCCAAACATTAGGGGAACAGCTTATAAATTAGGGTATATCAATCAGGAGAAATATTACACAGCAATATAAGCGATAATGGCGGCAGACTACACAGCCATATGGAGAGAATGGAATAATGATGCTCTGAAAAACATGGCCATACAGACTAGCTTGTAACTAGGACTGCAATTGTGTAGAAACACACACACGTGTAAAAGGTATAATAGGAAAAATATGTTGGGGGATACTATTATGAGCAACATAAAAACGAATTTTGTTTAATGTTTGTTTATCTTTTCAATGGGGGGAAAAAAGGGAGGGGAGTGGTTGGTCCCAAGGTTGCTTCTTTATTCCTTTTGTTTTAATTTATCAGTTTACTCTTTGTTTAAGGATTTAAGGTGTACTTTGTGGTTTTATGAAATGCATAGCTATATATACTGACACACACATTTTTTATTCCATTTTCTAATTTGCTCTATGAGGTTCGCCTTTCTTGATTTTTACTCCTTTTCAATACTTCCTTTTATTAATGAAGGTTTCCTTTCTTCTTGTTTTTTGGTCAATTGTTTATTAGGCCTTACCTTTTTCATTTTACTACTTCTTTTCTATGTCTTTCAATCACACTCTCAATCCTCCCCACATTCCTCATCCAAAAGTACTGTATTTACTACCTCTGGACCGCTGCTTTTATTTTCAAAATAATAATAATAATAATAATAATAATAATAATAATAATAATAATATTAATAATAATAAACTGATGTCCTGCAACAGAGCTCAACGCCAGCCCTATTGATCTGAGCAGGTTTGAGTGTTCACTTAAGTCTACAGCATCGCATTGCCTAGCAACATGGGCACCGAGCTTCGGGTTACTATAGTGATGGTTTCCTGAGGCACGTGCTAGCTTGGAGAAATGCTTGAGAGCAGCTACCATTTCGAAACCGGGGCTCCCAGGGTTTTTCTCCCCATTTTATTCCCTGGCATTTGAAAATAAAAAATAAAAAAGAGAGGATGCAGACAAGGAAAGCCTACTTGCTGTAAAGGGCTAGACAATCAATTGCAATTTCTTTTATACAGAGCATCAAAACAAAATCCTTTCCAATACGCTCTCCTTGTTTATGCCTTGAAGTCCCCTACCCCTTCCTGGCTGGACTCCTGGACTCTGACAATAAAGGCAGGCTGGGAATGGGGCCGAGCTAGGCTTCAGAGGCAGGCTGAGCGTGCATGCCCCTCCACTGGGCCACATAGACAGGCTCCATTCCAAAGTCAACCATGGAAAAAATTTAGCTTCTCTGCGGCCTCCTATTTAGCCAGACATTTCATACCATCATTTGCACTGGTAACTGAGACTTAGCAACAATCTATTTCAAAGCAAGAATCAAGCTACTCAGAATCTCTGGGCCACTGGGAAGTAAACAAGTATGTCTGGACCACAGAAAATAAGGAACTGCCCTTTCCGTAATTCTCTCTGACCACAGGGACCCCTGTTGTTGCAACAGATCAACTTCACTGCTGTCATTCCTGCTAATGCACGGTGTCAGCTTAGTTTCTTCGACTTTCAGCAAGAGGAATCCTTCATTCCTTGACTAAAATACCAAGAGAGATGGAAGGAAAAATGACACGACCCGCCCTCCCCTTGCTCAGCAAAAGGAACAAAGGCAGGCGATGAGTGGAGCTTCTGAAAGGTACATATGTTAGATCTACGGGGTAATTTCTGCCGACCTTATTCTGTAGGTCAGGAAGTTCTGCTCAAACTACAGCCGAGCCCTTTCATGGGTAACCTGATCTGGGTGTAATGCTAAAAATGAACCCGCATTTCTTTTTGAATTTGGAGTGCAATAATTTACCGTTTTTTCTGAAACCTCCTTTACGTAGGAAAGCACAACAAGCTGATCACAGAGAGGTGCGAGTCCACTGATGTAGAATTCAGCCTCAAACTGGGACACTGCAAACAAAAGAGGTAAGAGAGTCACCATTACCAGGCGCAAAAATAGCACACAAAGCAAGACACATCAAGTCTGAATTCCGGATAGACTCGTTTTAGAAACCCAACAAAGGGGGTACAGATAAATACATCTTGACAGCAGTCAGCACCAGAACAGGATTTCTGGGAGCTTACACCTGAAAACGTCTATCACAAACAAAAAGCAAACCTGACAATAACAGCAGCACAAACAGTCAAGTGTGACACTGCACCCAGCGAGGTTACAAATGACACAGTTAAATACCATGGACACACCCTGAAATCCACAAAACCCAATGTAAACTATTATTAAGAACAATAATTTTTTAAAAATGCCCGAGTTTAAGTGTTCCACAATTAGGGCACTGCAGTGCTATAAAGGTTATTCATAAGGAATACTATTTATAATTACAAGACTGTAATTATCCCTTTTTAACATTTAATAAACAATTTATTTAAAGACTTAAAAGGGGGGAAAAGGTATGTAAGTACAGATTGCATTATAATGAAACACTATTCTTTCCTAAGTGACAGGAAGGTCACAGGAAATAAATTCCTCTTTCTTTTTTAAAGACAGTCTAAATTTTAGAAGAACTATTGCATCACTTTAAAGAGGTATATGGATTTAATTATAGTGGACCTCAGAGATTTTATAGAAAGCTCAGTGGTACAAGTACCAATATTTGCAAAGCTATGACTCTAATGATTAGCTGCTATATTTATAATAAATGACTATCATTTTAAGCCACTATGTTTTGGGGTGACTTGTTACATAAAGCTAACTGGTACAGTAGTCTTCCAGGAATCATACACTGCACTTACAGATTCATTTGGGCGTAAACTCATTTGGACCCACCACATTTTCTACAAGTTTCTTGACTCAGCTTTTCTCCACAGTTCTGTGGCAGGAGCTTCAGGTTTAGTTCACTTCTATGATGAAATCACCCTTTTTCTAAACCAGGGTAAGTCAGTGCAGCATATTGGAAACAACACTGAATATAGTCTGCAAATCTGGGTCATAACTTCAACTAAACTGAACTTGGACAAGTCATTTTAATTTCTGTGGGTGTAACTTTTCCTATCTATAAAGTAATCATAACAGATAAAATCTATAACAGATGAAATGAGGGGCTACTGAGTTTTTCTTCTTCCTCTCCATGTTCCCTGCAGATCACTTGCTGTCACTTGTCTATGCCTGTCCTTAATGCCTGCACCTTATACAACTATTTTCACAATTTCATTTTTATACCAAAATGAAATAGAGGATAATCAAAAAAATTGCTCAATAGTAACATAAACGTTAAAAAGGATACTATTTCTTATGTTCTGTCCTTCATTAGATCTCATAGGTGGCCACAGTAACCTGGACATAACCACAGAATGGAAACGCAAAGGCAAGTGCTCTGGTCCCAGCTGTGGGTCTGACCTGAATACTCTCATCCCAGCACTTCAACACAGCTGTGGGAAGTGGTACCGGGATAACTGTTCACAGGAAGCACTTACGTAGAGCCACCTCCACCACAACCACATGCTGGGAGTGAGCACACCCAGAGTAACCAGACACTGAAGGTTCAGGAGAAGCTCCCAGTGCTGTGGTTTGTGGGGGCGGGGGAGGGGTGGGGAGGATGGGGGGAGGGGGCTGGAATGTGCAGATGCTGTTGAACAGTAAGTATGTGGCCACACAACCCAGTGATCAAAGAGGTGATAATTTCTCGCTCTAGAAGACATAAGGACATTGTAAACAAGGGGTTGTGGTTGCCACCACTCCTGAGATTGCTGAACTCTGTCTGGTAGAGAGAAACTTGAGTTGTTTTACTAAATCACTCCATCGCTGAAATGCTACACATAGTTCCCTTACCAGCAACCTGGGTGAAGAACAAATGATCAGAGATGTCAGAGACTGTTCCATGGGAAAGACAGAGAGGCTGTGATGTGCTTGTTGGCCACAGCCACCTGAGAGGAACTGTCACCTAGGCGGGGGTGAACTAGGTATTCTCCCCATGTGGGGTGCCAGTGGGCTGCTGGACTCAATGACTGGAAGTATCAGACCGTGTCTCTCCTACAGGTAACCAAATACACACCAAGGCCAAGACCGGGTTCTTATGACTGTGCTAAAAGATACAGCAGGGACGCCAGAAAATAATCCAAATAATCCAAACTTTCTTCCTCTAGATCCCGATTTCTTAGTCCTCAATAGCTTGCTTTAATAAGACAGAAAATTTCCTGTTCTCTAAGAACACGATAGAAAACCTAATGTTTTCTTAAAAAAAAAAGATGTATGGAAGCGCATATCTATTTCATTTCTCAATTCCAGATAGATACTGTAATAAATGCTTATTTGTTAAGTACTAAATCTTACCAGACTTTACTAATTGAGAATAAGTAATAATTTAGGCACAGACTACATGAAGTGACTAAATTATAAACAAAAAATGTTACTTATGAAGATATGGTACATAAAAATAGCATTGTCACAATTCCCAGAAGCACAGTTATCAACATTCAGATAAAGGTGAAATTAAATAATTCTTTTCATTTTATTAAAAAAAAACCATTATCAATAGAAATCTTATGGAAAACAAAACTGCAATTATAGTCATACCCAGTATGATTCAAAACTTAAGGGATCAAAAATAATGGCTGTTTATCTTAGCATTGGATATTCTACCACTTAGCAACTCACATCCATTAACACCCACCAGTAATGATATCATGTAACAAAGAGCTCACTTCCTAACGTGAGTTCCTGGTTTAGGAAAATGTCTACAGCTATTCTGTATTAAAAAGAGAAAAGAGGTTTCAAAATAAATGATGGTACTTTATTTCTAGGTCTATCATGATTCAGTTTATTCTTTATATTAGTGCTGAATCTAAGAAGGGCTGGTTGGAGACAGTGGTGTCTATTCTTTCCACTGAATAGATGAGAGAAAGAACTGTTGAATGGTAATATTTATTCCTCTGAAGAACATACTTAAATTATGTAAAAGTTTATGAACTGACTCTGTAAAATACCTTCGTGTAATTATTGACTTTCTATTTCAAATTTTCAATGGACCAATGAAAGTTTTCGTTTATTTATTTACCCTGAAATTCTGTTTTTCCAACGTAACAATGACTTTAATAATTTTTTAATGAATATTTTTCCTAAATGAAAAACAACAATTTGAATATAGGTGGTTTACAGGACTAATACCACAGAAGCTCACCTTTAAACCGATTATCTGGAAAAGATAAATCACAAAGAAAATAAACACAAATTCTGTTGGAAAGCACTAAAACAAAATAGAAAGCAAAAGCTGGAGAAAAGGGAAAGAGGACAAATTCAGAGTTTCTAGAGAGAGCCACAAAAAGACAGTAGCTATGCTTCAGATCAAGCAGATCCGAAAGGGAGGTGATGGCTCTGGGCCCCGCAGGGACTGTGTGGTGTTCACTCAGGTGACGACAGACGTGAGCTAAGGTGCCCGTTCCCGCTGCAGCACAGCCTTCCTTGCCCAACACAGACAAGGAGACTGCTGTGTTCTGGTTCATTCCAGAGGACAAAGCATTCCTAGACACGCGAGAAGAAATCATTCAAAGAAAAAGACCAGGAGAGTCTACGCAGATGGAGAGAGAAAGAAATTTCAAAAGGGCTATTCACATGAGAAATCTACCTGGGGGTGGTCCTTGGACCCACAAGGAGGACGGCTGTGAGCACAGCCCTGATCCAGGAGGAAGCTGGGGTTCTTCATCGGCGCTGCCCAGCAGAATATTAATGCAATCCCAAAACAAAACCTGCATACACAATTTTACATTTTCTAGTAGCCACATTAAAGAGTGTAATTTTACCACAGAGGTGTAATTTTAGAAATATATTTTATTTAATGTGACATATCCAAAATATTATCGTTTCAACACATAACAACATAGAAAGTTATCACTGAGATAATTTACTTTTGATTTGCATACACTGTCTTTGGACGTAGCTGCAGCACGTCTCAGTCTCACTTGCCCCGTTCCGAGCATGTCACAGCTACCTCACTGGGCAGCGCGGGTCTAGATGCCCAAAAGACTTTTCGTCTCTCAAGTCCAGTAATTTGACTCAAATATATCTTGATGGTGTGCACCATGGGCCATTATTTTCAGATACACGCTGTGCTATTTTAATTTATAGATTCAAGTTTTGTTTCTTTGTAGTATCAGGACATTTTTTTTGAAATACTGTTTTTGATATTTATTCCATTCACTTGTTTTGTTTCGAGGGACTCTTTATTTGTAGGCTGAATCATGTTAGCCTGTCTTTAGTATTTATCACTTTATTGTAAATCTTTTTTCCCCCTTATTTCTTTGTGATTTAAAACATTTTCCTCTTCTATTTATCTTGCAGCATTATCTTTGTGTCTACTTTCTCTTGTTTCCTTCCAGTTTAATCTTCATTTCTAAAGTGATCTTTTATTTATAATATTTCCTGAGTTCTAGCACCTCACTTGAGATTATTAAATTCTGATTTTTGTTCTTTCATGCCTTACATGACTTCTTAAAAACGTCTGAATAGTAAATTACAGTTGTGATCTATTTTGTGGGTGTTTCTTTTTGGTGTGCTTTCATCGCCAAGGATGCTGTTCTGCTCCACATTCACTTTTCCTTAAGCCTTAGTATGGGCTATGACCTCGGTATTTTTATCCTTGTTTTTAGGCCCTGGCAGGATGCACCTGCTATTCGACTATGAATTCACAGGGGTTCCTTGGCTGCCCAAACCCCTCAGCCCCCTGCAGCCGTTCCTTGTACCCGCTCTTTTCAGAGTGACCCAGGAATGGCCTTTTCCAGGGCATGCTGGCTGGCTGTTGTGACCTTCTCCTAGTCTCAAGTCCGCCAGACACCCCGTTGCTCCCGAGCTTTTTCTCACACAGATGCTGACACCATGGCATGCCTGTGGCTGTTGGAGGGTTTTCCCATCCACTTGGGCTGCCTTGTCACTCGGGTTTGTTTTAAATGTGGTCTATGTG